GCTGAAGCCTGCTTTCCTTTTTTTTGTTTCAGATAATCACTCACAGGTATCGAGAGCATCTCTCCGTATCCGTATCCTGGATGTGAACGACAATCCGCCTGAGCTCGCCACCCCCTATGAAGCTGCTGTGTGCGAGGATGCCAAGCCAGGCCAGGTAGCGGGTGTCCCCCGGCTCTTCTCATGAGTCTCCATCAGTGCCTGCAGCGGTCTCATGCTGCGAGCAGTGCTCTGGACCAGTGCCAGCCTGCCCATCCTTCCCATTCTGCCTGAACATCTTCCCGTGCAGCTGCTGTCACGCTGGGAGCCACTTTGCTGGTGTCCTACAGCTAAGCCTGTCTATAAGGGCAAAGGCTCATCCCTCCCTGTGGCAGAAGCTGGTGATGCTCTGCTGGGCTGGACCGTGTGAGCGGGACCCGTGGGAGGGGCTGCGGAGGCAGCACTTATTCTCACCTCTGCTTTCTCCTCACAGCTGATCCAGACAATAAGCGTTGTGGACCGTGATGAGCCTCAGAGTGGCCATCGTTTCTACTTCACACTGGCACCTGAAGCCACCAACAACCACCATTTTTCTCTGCTGGATATTAAGGGTAAGCCCTGCTGCGCCCTGCCCAGTGCAGGAAGGGAGATGGGGCTGTGGGCTTACAGTCCATCCGTGCTGGCTGGAGCTCAGGGTGCTTTGGGCACCCTGCAAGGCTCCTTGCCATCCTGAAATGGTGGGACTGGTCAGCTACCAGTTTGGATTTCCTCAAGGAGGGTCTGCCTTCTTCTGTGCTGCAGATAGGTCCAAAACTCTTCTTGTCCCATCTGGTTAGCCTTCAATGTTTTCAGGGCTCTTGGTCCCTTTCTTGATGGGAAGTGTCAAACCTTCCCGCAGGCAAGGAGATGATATGGATTTACAGATGAACACGCTCCCGTTTTGAGCGTTAGGATTTACCCCTCTCCAAGGTAAATCCTGGACCTGCCATGCTCCCGACAAACGGGAGCAGCTCAAGAGTCCTGGGAGGCAGTGGGGCCATGCAGCTGCCAACCCTTGGCCATTGCCATACCTGGGACAGGGCCAGCAGAGCCGGATTCCCCGTTGGGTGGTGGCTCAGGGACGTAGTTCCTCTGCGTTTCCTGAGGCTCATCCCGTCCTTCAGAAAACGCAGCCAGGCAGGGAAGCGCTCTCTGCACTAACCAGGGGGTGCGATGCAGGTTTTGCTGGCTGAGCCCTGGTCGTCAATTGGCTTTGCGGACTGCAAGGTCAGGCTGTGTTTGTGTGGATGATAACGATCCAGAAAGGTAGTTATCAGGCTGCTTGCTATTTTTGACTGATGTTTTGGGTGAATTTAGGTGCTGATTGCAGCAGGTACCGGGATCTTTTCCAGCCAGATGTGCACTTACTTGTCAAAGGGGCCAGCCCAGAAGGAAGCCAGCAGCCCACGTTGAAATGCTTCTTTGTTCTGTTTTGTGGCTGCTTTTAAACCATTTTTTTCTCCATTTTTGCAGTTTCATCATCTATCAGAAGTCTGATTTAGTTTGTTCTGAGCTTATCAAAGGAACCCTCTGCTGATGTAAGATCCTGCTCGCTCAGTTTGGTTCAGCGTTATTAGGGATAGACAAAATGGAACTTGCGGCAAAAAAGCTTCAGACGTAATCACAGAGGGACCAATATTGCTTTGTGTCCTAAAAAGTGCAGCTGTCCCTGACCCGAGTCCCTCCCCCTGCACTGATGGGGCAGCTGTTCACGAGGCCTTTTGCTTCTTATCATGTAAGCAAGCTTTAATCCTCTGCAAGATTTTGTCCCACGCCCAGCGATTAACTCCCTTCACTTTCTCTGAAGGACCTCATAAAAACGTGCTGAGTTACACCCGGATCTGTCCCTACCCGGACCCCTCCAGAAGCTCCGAGGGGCCCGGGGCCGCGCTCCCTGCTCCGAGCCGGGATGTCTGCTGCAGCTGGGTTGCGATCCCGGAGCCATCGCTGCTGCTCCTCCTGTCTGGCAGGAGAGACCTGGCCAGGGGCGGCTGGAGCTCGGCAAAGGGCTGCTTCGCTGCCCGGTGCTGTGTGGGAATCGCCCCCCGTTGGCTCAGCCGGGGTTCACCAGCAGCAGCCCGAGAGCCGCCGTTGCAGGAGGGTGCAGGACACGGGCTCACGCGCCTCTATCTCCTCCGGAGCTGCTGCTCTCTTGAGTGGGATGAGGCTCTCGTTGCACGGGGTAATCCTTCGTGCTAAACGATCCCACAAACTTTGCATGTGGTGCAACACTGCATAAAATGAGTAAAAGCTGGCATCACCTCCCGCCTTCTGTTCTCAGGAAAACAAATGCTGTTCCTGCGGGGTTACTCCCAGGGTGTTCGGAGACCCTCCCAATTGCCAAGCAATGCTGTCTTCCACAGCAAGAGGAGGCGGCTGCCTGTGCAGATGGAGGCACCCCTCATTTCTAACGTGTGTGTTTTGGTGTCACCTCCCTTCCTTTGATTTCTCCCCCCCCTCCTTTTCTCCAGCCCATTGAGTGCCCTGGGTGGGCTCACCTTCGCCCCCTGCTCTCGTGGGTTCCCTTGCTGGATCCTCCTTTGTCCCCCCCTTTGACTCCCTCACGTGCGTTCACCCCTCTTGCACTTGTCTCTGCTCCTCCATATAAATATCAGTGGTGACAAACTGCTACCACCAGCCCATCTGTTTCTTTGTACAAATTTGTAGCCAGTTTTGAAACGTGATTTATAAATATTGCTTTTGCAGCCAAGGAGTGACACTGATGGATGTCAGCACAGATGGATTCACTAAGCTCTCGCTTAAATCCTTCTTCTCGCTTTTGCTTTGCACCTACATCCCTCGGCTCCTGCAAGGAGGCAGAAAGCCACCTCGGGAGGGTGACTTGTCCTCAGCACGGCAGGGACCAGCATCTCCTCGGGAATGCTGCCGTTAGGGTTCGTCAGGCAGGGCAGGAGCAGCCAGCCCTGGCAGGGTCGGTGGGGTAAGGTGGGGAGCCTGGGGGGCTCCGGCCAGCAGCGAGGTAACTGCGAGCTGCCGGAGAGATGTCAGAGGGGTGGGCTGCTTGGGCAGGCACCTCGCCGGCAAAGCTGACCCCGCAGGGGGCTGGAGGAGCAGGTGGAGTGAGAGTGCGGTGAAATGTTGAAGCGCAGAGCCCTGTCGCAAGGGTGGGAGCAGAGCCAGGCGAGGTAGCGCAGGAGGGCAGGAGAGGATGCTGAACGCTCTTCTAGGGTTCTTCATGGGCAGCGCGGAGGAAGGCTGCGAGGTCTAAAACCCAGGGTGATCGATGGGGCAGCCTGTCCATCGGATGAAGAGCTTGTGGAGTACCTGCTAGTAAGTGAGTGTATGGCAGTGGTCACAGGGCAGGTCTGCTGCAGCCTGGTACCACCGCGACGCACTCAGGACACTGCTGCTTGCCCAAAACCTGGTTGGTCAGTCCCCAGTGCAGCCAAAACTGCCAGGAGTGGGGATGGCCGTGCAAAGGGCCTGTGGTTAACACCCGCAGCCCCGCTCATCAGCTCCCAGTGGCACCCAGAGCTGCCTTGGCTCTGATGCTCTGGGTCAGAGCTACAAGAGCAAAAGGTGACCCTGCAGGAAACCTTGTGTTACCTGAGTTACAGCTGGTTTGCAGGAGCCAGGCTTTTGGAAACAGTGCCGTTTCCTACTGGCATCTCTCTTTCCTTGCTTTTTTTCTGTCCAAGGGAGTGCTGAAGTACTTCCTAATTCATCAGACAAGGAATAAATGTCACGTGTGGTAACAACGACCCCAGTCCAGAAGGAAGATGCCCGGCAGATGAAGCGCCTAAAGGAAGAGAGAGAATTGGAAAAGCTGACCTCACCCAGGTCCAATTGGTGCCATTCCAAAGGCATTCACCATCCTCTGCCTCCTAACTCACCTTTTGCTGGGTCTTTCTGGCCGGAGAAAATTGATTACAGAAGAATCAAAGGCAATTAAAGCCTGAAATCGTGTTCTCCAAGAAATGCTAATTGTGTTGGAAGGGATGGTAGAAAGCATCCAAGCCCAGCATCCTGGAAGGGGTGCTACATAATATGGAGCGACACATGGAGCTACTGACTCCAGAGCTCAAGGGCTAGGCAAGCAGATGTCTGAACTCTCTGCAGGTCTCATTAAGAGCATGTAATGGGTGATAGAAGATGTGAAAATCGTAACAATCAAAAGCAAAATGTTTGGATTTGAGGATTGCCTCAGGATAGGGGAAGCCTCCTCCAGCCCCGCAGGGATGCCGTTCACAGCAGGAACCGCACAGATGCTGATCTGACAGGGGGTGAAAAAGAGCATCAAATCTCCGAAGGGGCTGAGCAAAAGGTAAACACACAGCAGTGGTGCTGTGGCCTGGCACCCAGAGGATTTGGGAGAAGGAAGAGGCAAAAGGGAAAAATCGGATTATTCTCCTACCAGCTGCACCCGCCAGGGGCTGGAGAGGGGGTCTGCTCCTTTTGGGCAGCTCCAGCAGCAGCATGGCCGCAGGCCCGGCCGGGAGCCATCTGCACGTCCCCGGAGCTGGTGTGCCCGGGCACCGGAGCTGCAGAACAACTGCCGGAGAAGGGGAAGGCAGATGCTCGTGTGGCCCCAAGAGTGTGGGAGAGTGCAGGGATATCGAAATCCAAACTGGAGGCAGCTTGTTCCCTTCTGCTACCTTAGCGCTGCTCAAGATTGAGTTATGAGAAGGATTTATTAGTTCTGTCTTTGAAGCTGCCAAGAGCCTCTTTGGAGAGGGAATCTGAGAGACTTAATTATTTTTTTTATTCCTAGTGATGTTACGCTACCACCAGAGTATATTGGCTTCCTAAACTTTCCTCTTACAACAGTATTGACTGGTCCCTGCACACACTCAGCTCACGTTGGTTTCTGCCTTGTCTGGTGATGTGCTCCTCAAGCAGGCAGAGGTGCCGTCTCCTGTCTGTCGCACAAGGTGGTATGATGCGACACGGGATAACATCGCTGTGTGGTCGGGGAGAGGGTGGCATAGGAAATCTGCAGAGGAGATGTCAGTTTACGTAGCAAGATGACAATGATAGTAAATGGTTTGGCTTGGGGCTTCAGAGAACACATGGCACAACCCTTAGAGCGGTGTGACCATAACACAAAATGCAACCGGGTGAGGACTCGGCAGGAAAACATAAGTGTGGTGATCCAAGCTTGTCTGTGCAGGAACGCTGTGGATTACCGTCTGCTCAAATTTCAGTACCACCTCCTGGGAAACACTGCTCTTCAACCTCGTGACCCCAAAAATGGACTTAGTACAAAGATGCGACAGAGGAAGAAACACGAGAGGCTGCAGGACCAGCCCTGCCTGGCTTTTCTTTGCAACGATTCGTGCTGTGCTGATACCAACAAATCTATACCAAGACACGCATCCTGAAGCAACTGCCTTGGGTCAGCTGCATGTAAAGAAACAACTGTACCAGGAGAAATGATGATGTTTTGCAGGAGGTTGCTTCGGATGCATTTTCCAGGATACATTTTCCCAGATCTGGGCAAAATTTTCTTCGCTTCTGTGGTCAAATAGACTACATTGCATGGCAGCAGCGCTGCTTTTTCTGGAGTATCTCAGAAGGGAACACAGAAGAAGTTTGCAAGTAACAGGGGTGTAAACGCCCAACAGAGAAAACAGTTGTGGAGCCATGGGCACAGCGGGTGGGCAGCAAGGAGGAGACTGGAGCCATCCCAGTGCCTGGAGGGGGCTGGTCTCTGCCAGAGCAGGGTCTGGCTGTCCAGCCCCAGGGAGCAATGTCGTAGGAGTAGACATGACATTTCTGTGGATCTCCTTCCTGTAGGAAGTGCTCATGTCACCCTGTTCAAGAGAGAAAATGTCGTTTCATGTTTGAAATAGTGTTTTGTAGTTGTGATTTTTGTGTCTCTCCTGAGCACCGAGTTTTGGGTGACAGAGCAAGACCTCAGCCCCTTCCCGAGCTGAGGTTTCTCAGAGCAGAGCTGTCTTTCATGCTGCTGATATATTTAAGTACTGGCTACTTTATTTTGACTTTGTGGGTTCAGCCGTGAAAATATTTCTCCTTCCCATACTCGGAGGTGAAGGGGCTCAGCTGCGCAACGTGCTGTCTCAGCGGAGCTGAGCTGAGGTTAGTGGCTGCCTCTCTGCGACTTGGACATGTATTTCCCCATGATTTCTAGCGGCTGTTCCTAAAAATACAGTGTGCCTTGTGGCGGGTCCCTCGCAGGAGCTGGAGCTGGCTGTACACAGAAGGGGAGTCGCCAACCTTCTGCTGCATTTCCAGAGAGGTGGGGAGCTGGTGCTGCGCCTGCATTTACACAGCCCTAAAGAGGTGCTCGCCCGGCCGGCTGGGAGACATCCCAAACAGGTTCGTCAGACCTGGGCCAGAGATGGGCTGAGCGGCACGTGGAGGTGCAGGGCTGTGCGCACGGGGATCCTCCGAGCCAGCATCCGACCATGACCTCAGGCTGGTTACTTGACTGGTGTGACGGTGCCAGCAAAGGCGACCTTCCCGGGCTGAGGGCCAGAGCCTTTTGTGCTCACAGCAAGTGGGTCTGTCCCATTTGTCCTGTGGCTTCATCTCTACTGGGTCCAAATGCCCGAGGCTTGTGTTTAGCTGGGCTAGCTAGGCGTTAGTCCTAGCCTCTTGCTGAGATGGTGCCATTAACGTTATTTATATCTCCCCGCTATGCTGCAGCAAGATGAGGGAGCAGCACCAAATTAGATCTTGTTACCTTTGTGCAAACGATTAGCATAACAATAATATATATTTTTTTTTTCCCTAGTTCATCCTTGGTAGGCAATAGGCAGCTTCTCAGCAGGTTCTGCTGTGGGCAAGCTGCCACACTTGCTTCAGCCTCCTTCAGCCCAGGGGGCTGGTGCTCCTCTGCTCCTCCTTCCTGACAGCTCTGCCGAGTTGCCACCATGCTGGGGCCACGTGTGGCTCCAGGAGTCTCAGCTGCGGTGGCAGATGTCCTGCAGGACCAGGTGGCTGCCCAGGCAGAGGGTCGGTGGTCCCTGCCTCGCGTACAGAGAAGCCAGGCAACGCACACGGTGCAGAAAGTGATCACATTCTTCGCTGTGGGCAATCCCCTCCACGGGCTGGTGATGCTGCAGCGTTTGGATCACATCTGACTCGAAGCGTGGGTCAGTGCTGGGGCTGCAGCCTCGCGGGAGGAGCGCTGACATTGCATGCAGTATCTCCCTTCTGAGGCAAACTGTCCCCGGATCGACTCGTACAAGCCTTTGCCTTGCTGCTGTCTTCTGCTCTGTGCTCCTGAGGATGTTGCCTGCCTCAAGTCTGCTGCCCTGAGCAGGGATGAGTGAGGTTACCTGGAAAATTCCCTTAATGGATAAAAGATGCTACATACAAAGGAAGAGTTTTTTCCTAGTGACCTGCAGCACAGTTCAGTGTGCATGAATAAGATCTTGTTTTGGATATCGCCCTTGTGGCATTCAGTGCAGCCTCCAAATGTTGGCTGGTGTGGTCTTCTCTCCGATGTCTTTGCCTTTCCCCCGCACTGAGCTCTTCAAGGCAGACCTGTGCTCTCAGATGAACTGGAAGAGATTACTTTCTCCCTGTCTCCTTTATGCTGGAGCCCCGCTCTCCCCAGCTGGGGTGCCAAAGGCTGCGCTCTCCCCAGCAACACGGCCGTGTTCTGGCAACACAGAAGACTCTGGTGGGCTGAGTCCAGAAACCCGACGATAGGAAGCAGCAATCTGGTGTGTAGCACCACAACAGCCGAGGGCTGTTCTGGGCACAAGCCCGTGCACTGCTGCTGACCCTCTGGGCACAGACAGCCCATCTTCCTCGCTCCTGCTGCACGTAGCCACGCTCGCCTCCAGCACACACTGGGTGGGCTTCGCCTCTGCGCCCGCGTCAGCACAGGGGGCACGGATTGCCCCAGCTCCTCTTCCAGACCGCCCTGAAGCAGAGACCAGCCTTGCCCTCGCTTGGCTTTTGCAGCAGTCCTGCAACAGATCATCTGTGCTGTTTGTACTGGCAGAGCTGGGCGAGGGCTGAGCGCTGGGATCCTGGCAGACTCTGCCCAAACTGCATTGCCCCCAGCCCCGAGCAGCTGGGAGGGGAGATGGGCTCCGTGCTCTGCTCTGCCCCGGCTGCTGCGCGACGTCTCCGGGATCTGCCCCGCTTCCCATCTGCAGGTGGATCTTCCCCATCTCGCAGCTCGGCATGTGCCTGCCCCTCTGCGCTGCTCTTGGCTCGCCTGCTGTCCCCGCCGTGCCCCGTGTGCTCCCGTGCAGCACCCGATCCATACGGCAATTTCCGCGGTGGCAGGCAGCCCAAGAGCCAGAATTAGAATAGATGTCTTTTCCGATCGAAGAGCTGATTGATACAAAAAGGGGCCAGTCCGGCATAAATCAGGCGCAATGAGGAGAGAGTCTGTAGACAGCAGCACCTTGCTGTGAGCGGGCCAATCTACATTTTATTAGATAAAGACTGCAGACAGTCGGCAGCCACTTCTGACATCTGGCCGCGCTCGTTCAGCTACTCTTCAATCCCTTCCCTGCTCTGCTGCTGGCTGGCAGCGAGTGGCACACATGAGCAAGGAGCCGAGCTGATATTTCGGTCCCTGTTCCTACCCTCCCTCCTCCAGGTCGTCCTGGGCGCAGCTGCTGCTTGGGTTCATCTCTGGCGCCCGGGCCCTGGAGGAGCCCATGGAGTGGCCGTGTTAATGGGATTGTAATGGGTTATGCTGTGCCGGCTGAGCCCCTGGAACAGCAGGGTTTGAGCAGATGGGATGGAGGATGGCTGGCTTGGCTGGGAGGCTTGGAAGGAGCTCTGCCTGCTCCTTCAGAGGTTACAAAGGATCCTGAGGGTATTTTGCCCTCCAGCTGAGGCAGGACCCTTCACCCGCGGGTCTCAGGTATGGAAGCAGTAGCTGCTCTTGCAGGTTCAGTGCCACCTGCAGACCCCCGTTCCGCTCTGGTCTTCCATGTCAGCAACTGATTTTTATCCTGATTCCTGCTCTGTGCCACCCTCGGAGGGTCTTCTGGAAGGTTTTTTTCCCTCCCTCTGCTCCAACTGTGGTGTTTGTCAGCACGGCTCAGATACCCATATGCTGTTTCTCCTGTGTTGGGTTTGCCATGCCCTGGGCACGCTGGCCGGGGAGACGCTGGGCTGGCCCCAGGGTGCTCAGTGAAGGGGCACGTGCTGGAGCAGAGCTGGCCACCTCCCGGCACTCAGGCTGCTGAGGGGCTGCGGTGCATAAGCCAGCCATGAGCTGGCTCCCTGCTCCCCCGTGATGGAGAGGAGGGAGGCCCCATCTCCTTTTCGGGCGGTTGCTGGAGTTGGCACACGAACAACCCCTGTTCATCTTGAGCGCGGAGGAGCTCCTGGCGAGTCCTGCTGGCTGTGCTATGGGGGTGACTTTGCTGTGGTTTTACTTGTTCCCTGCAGACAACACGGCTGCGGTGCACACGCAGAGAATGGGCTTCAATCGCCAGGAGCAGGACGTGTACTTGCTCCCCATTTTGGTGGTGGACAGCGGCCCGCCGGCCCTCAGCAGCACGGGGACTCTGACCATCCGCGTCTGCGGCTGTGACAGCAACGGCGCCATCCAGTCCTGCAACAGCACAGCCTACGTCGTATCAGCTACGCTGAGCCCCGGTGCCCTCATCGCACTGCTGGTGTGCATCCTCATTCTGGTCGGTGAGTGCCCGCCTGTCCCCCGGCATCCTCCTGTCCTGTCCCTTCTCCTCTCCACCCAGCATCACACCAACAAGCGCAGGCGGTTGCCGTGGGCACGGTGCCGGCTCCTCTGTCAGCTGTCTTCTTGCTGGGAGCTGCAGCGTGTGGGGCAAGAAGCCTGTCTCCCTGCCAGTGGGGGACCATCCGGGAAGCTCCCATGTTTGCCCCAGCTCGCACGTGCTGGGCTCGCCGGGCAACCAGAGCGGGGGTCCCTGCAGGCAGGCAGGTGGGCTGCTGCCCGGCGGAGGCTGGAGAAGTGCTGGCTTGCTCCCTGCCTCGCGGGGCAAGAGCTGAGAGCTGCTCGCAGCCTGCCGTGCTGCGACCACAGCAGACGGGGCACGTGTGCATCCCAGCGCGGTGGCCAAGGGTGGCAAAATGTGGGGCGCGCAGTTGTGCTTTTACCTCGGAGCGTGGGGATGGTCAGTGTTAGAGTGTGCGTGAACGCGTGGGCAGGACGCTGAGCTGGGGTGCTCGCAAACCAGAGCATTGCCCGCACCCTGGGGATGCTGCCGGCTGGCACCGCCACCTGCACACTGGCAGAAGCTTGTGCTGGGCCACCATGGCACGGTGTGAAGGTGCAGGGGAGGTGTGGGCTTGTGTGCGCGTGGGAAGGGGCCCTGAGAGAGGGGTGTTGCAGTGCCCTCAAGTTTAGCATAGGGCAGTTGATGGACGCTGATGCTGAAAGCCCTCCAGCGTTGGTGCGGGCTCACAGCTGGATCCTGAGGGCTGTCCGGACATCTGTGGAAGCCACCGCGTTGTTCAGTGAAGTCTCCTCTCCTTGGCACAACTATGCTCCCCGTCTCCTGCTGTGTCTCCGTTTAGAAAACCCTTTCCCACAGGGTGCACTTTACACTGGTTTCATTTTCCAACGCAGCGCAAACAAATTTCTGCCTAATTGCCCAAACGAATAAAGTGCACATCGGTGCTTTAAAGGTGATGGGATGAATGGATGATGATCCGGGACACATCTGCGGCTCATTGCTCAGGCTCTGTGCCATCTGCTCCACATTCACCCTCCCAACATTTGGCTGCTGCCGTGATTCATGCACCCCCTTTTCCTACTCATCTTCTGCAGAATCCATCCATTTGTCTGTCCAGCCGTGCGTTTCATCCATCTGTCCCTCCGGTCTCAGCAGTCACGCTGCATGGGAAAGGGAGCTCCCGGTCCGCACTGGAGCCCGGGCAAACCTCTCTACCAGCCAGTGGCACAGCACAACTGCTACTTGATGTGCCTGGCTGATAGGAACGGGCTGCCGGTGGTCTCAGCCATGCCAGAGGGTGATGTGCCTCTGCCCCCTGCCGCTGGGCACCGGCCATCCTTGCCCCGGCAGGAGTGCGGCTTGCACAAGCCCCTGCGCCCATCTGATCGTCTCTTCCTTTCCCAGTGCTGGTCCTTCTGATCCTCACGCTGAAGCGACACCACAAAAGCCACCTGACATCCGAGGATGACGAGGACATGAGGGACAATGTAATCAAATACAACGACGAAGGGGGTGGCGAGCAGGACACAGAGGCCTATGACATGTCAGCCCTGCGCAGCCTCTACGACTTCAGTGAGATCAAAGGCGGCGATGGAGGCGGGGGGCCGGGAGAGGGGGGCCTGAGCGGAAACCCTGCCTCCGAGCTCCATGCCCTCCCGCAGTGGGTGCAGAGCCCGGACCTGGATTTCTCCGTGTTCAGAGACTATATCTGCAAGAAGGTGGAGCAGGCGGACGAGGACCTCTCCGTGCCGCCCTACGACTCGTTCCAGACCTACGCCTTCGAGGGCTCGGACTCCCCCGTGCCCTCCCTGAGCTCCATCAACACCTGGTCCAGCAGCTCGGAGCAGGACTTCTCCTACCTGGGGGTCTGGGGGCCACGGTTTCGGCAGCTGGCAGCGCTCTACGCTGGGCGCAGGGGCGAGGAGGACAGCGAGGAGTCCTAGCCATCCCGCCAGCACCTCGCGAGGCTCTCGACACCTCCTGGACTGGGGCTCTGTGCCATGAGGTGCCGTGGGGGGACAGCGTGCGCCTCCGGCCAGGCTCTGTGGCTGCTGGGGAGGGGCTGCACCGTGGGGCCGAGGAGCGCTGGGCGACGTTCTCCTCGGCAGCTGCCTCCTGCTCAGGGCACCTCTGCACCCGCACGGCAATGCCGGGGTGCCCAAAGGAGCCGCTGTGGCCATCGTCATTTCCTTAATACCAGTCTCCATTAAAGCACTACACATTAATTTAAGAAAGAGCAAAATCTAATTCAAGAGAGTTTGGAGGGGGTTTCTCCCCCACAAATTATCATTTAAATAGATCTGTTCAGTGAGCCCAGTTCAGGAGAGGAAGAGAAAACCGGGAGCCTTTTGTCGTCTAAATTGTTTTTGTCACTTGAGTCAGAGCATTTGAAGTGCTTTGATTTCTTTAAGAGCTTTCCTTGCAGAGGGAAACAAGCTTTTAACTTCTGTTCAGCTTCTTCCCCCTTAGGTTCACTCGCTTTTTGGAGTCCTTCTTCTCTGCGCGTGGGCTCCTCGGCATCATGAGAGGGAGCGTGCGGCACTGGGGATGCACATGCTGGACGCGGGCTCCGGGATCACATCCTGCACGGAGCGACCGCTGCACTACAGTTCACTTCAAAACACACTTTGCCTCTAAGCTGCAATTGCTTCACCTCTCAGTTCTTAGCCCTTTCTTGAGGTTATCAAAGATGCTTATGATTTTGAAGGGGCTCTCCCTGCACAGCGGACGTTGTCTGTAAAGTCCTGATGTGCCCCATGGCCACGGTGATGGACAGGGATGTCCCGTCCGCTGCCGAGGCACGGTGCTGTGGCCTGAGCCGCAGAGCAGCCGCGGTGCTGGGGAGTGCCGTTGGAGGGGTGCGGAGCGGCGCTCCCCGGATCGGCTCTGCTGGCCCCTCGGGACAGGCTGGGCCCCGGTCTTCAGGGCTCTCGGCCAAGCGTGAGCCTTCTACCGAATGGCGTGGGCTGCGCAGGGCAGAAGGTGGGACGTCAGCACACCCTGGCCTTCAGTGGTGGGGGAGAGCTGCGTCCCGGCTGGAGGATCATGCTGTAGGGCGCGAGAGAACCCCAGCCGTCTGGTTGGGAGGGATAATTCCTGCTTGCACTCAGCTGACAGCAAAGCATCACCACCCACGATAGAAAAGCCATCCCCAGGACATGGGCATGAGGCCAGATCCTGCTGGCGCTGCTGCACGGCTGAGCTGGTTGGTGCAGGCTGGGCAGTAGGTCTGTGACACCTCAGGGTACCCGGGATGTCCCCACACAGTGCCCTGCAAGAAACCTGCACGAGCTCCCACTGCGGGGCCACCTTTGCACGAAATCTCTGCTTTCGAGAGGCAGATGAGGAGGAGCTGTCGGGCTGTGCTGTTGCTCCTCGGGCTGCAGATGATGCTGGAGGAAAACGCTCAGTGCCCTGCGTCTTTTCAGTCTGCTGACTTCCCCTGGGGTAAATTAGGCAGCGCTTTGAGCAACACCCCCGGGCAGCTTCTCTCAGGCTGTGCTGGCTAGTGCAGCTCCTTATCTGTTCCTGTTGGAAAAAAAAAAATCAATTATATCATTGATAGGTAACTGATAAGGTCTCCCAAGGCCTGACACATCCTGGGCTTGTCATTGGGTTTGTCCTTTTAGTTTAGCCACAGACAGTGTTTTCTATCCTTGGAGAAGGTTTAAATGTAAATGTACCCACGTGTTTCATTTTTTACTGTTTTGCTTCCCGGCTGCTGGTGTTGGTCCTTTGGCTGCAGCACGAGACCTGACAGCAGAGAAGGGCAGGACACATCTTTGCCGCGGCTCCTGCCCTCGGCTGCTCCTGCCCGCTGCTGCCACGTCCACCCACGCAGGAGCCGCAGTTTGGCTTTCGCACTGGGACCGGGAGCTGCTCGCTTCTCAGGGTCTCTCCGGTCTCCCCCCTCAAAGGAGGCAGCAGGCGCCCCGCTGCCGGCACCCACGCTCCAGCGTGCTGCTGGTTCACTGTGATGATGCTGGGAAGGCAGCGGGGCCAACGGGCTGCTTCACGCTGGCCCTCGAGTGCTGGCTCTGACCACTCCGCCTCAGGCAGGTGATGCCCCAAACCCCCGGAGCAGGAGAATGGAGAAAGCCCTCTCTTTCCTCAGGAACGTGTTCGTCTTTTCCCTCTGGGCTGCCGAGCTGTGCCCTCGCCCCTCCGGAGCTGGCCCTTCCTCTAGCAAAAGTGTTGTGCAATAGCAGGGCTCTGTCCCTAGGAGATGGGGTCCGACAGGGTACGTGTTTAGTAACCCTCCCACCGGGTTATTCTCCATCCCCGACCAGCCAGTCCTCCCCAACGCGCATGCACGCACGCTTGCGGTTTAATTTCTATCCCACATGTAAATACGGGAGGAGCACGGTGCCGAGTGAGCCGGCCGCTCCACGCAGTGCTGCCCCGCACTCCCTGCCCACCCGCGCCCGGCAGGAGGAGCTGGCAGCTGCCACAGTGTCTGATGGAGTCACTTTGGTTTCCTTTCTCTACCCAAATGAAATTAGGAGGTTGATTTCCTCACCCTTGTTATTTTTTCAAGGTCTTTCTAGGACCTGGAAATAAATTATTTCCTTGTCGTCTAGCCTGAGTCTTATTTGCTTATTTCGTCTTGTTTCGTTTCCTCATATTGCACTGTCACCACGGTCCCATCGGAACCTTCCCAGAGGGACCGGGCAGGCTGCCTCGCCGGCAGGACGGGCCACGGCACAGCCCAGTGCAGCATCTTCCCTGCCAGGAGCTGGCAGCCAAACCGCCTGCCTCCCACAGCAAGTTCCCACCGGCAGGACACTGCTTCTCTAGCTTCTTCCTGATTTCCATTGAAATGATCATCAGAAAGAGCTTCTTCAAGAGAAGGGTCAGTTATTCTGTCTGAATTTGAAGGAAATGATGAAAACAAAAAAAGTCCTTGGCTTTCTCCATCTCTTCAAGAAGAGAAAGATGGGTTGTGCTTTGAGTAGCACGAGGCGCGGGGTGGATGGTCCAGGCTGGCTGCAGTGCCTGCCTGCCGTGTCTGCTCCCAGCAGGAGCCACCCCAGCACTGGGGTCCGGGGTCTGAGCCGCCACAGCCGGGCACAGGCTCCTCAGCGCGGTCCCAGAAGCACTGCCCCCGTGGGTGACCGGCAGCAGCTCGTCCTGCGACGGGGGCATCGTTCACTCATCCTGCAGAACAACAATAGAAGGAACAAGGGGCAAACTGCACGCCAAGCGGCAAAAGAAAGTCTGATGATGCATCTTCACGATCTTCCTGTTTCAGCCAACAGAGTTCCTTAGTGTTCTTTAAAAAGTGCATCTTCAGTGGTGTTCTCTTGAAGTTCATCAACAGCCTCGTAGCTGACCAGCTGATCACTCAAGGGCACGGATCCAGGTCATGTACTCCTTCCCAGCTTCAATACAGCTGGGAACGGGTTGTCAATTGTCAACAGGTTTTGTTACCGTGACCCGTTCTCACATTGGCAATGGCGTGTATTGCAGCAGCATTCAGTTATCAGCTGCAGCAAAAATCCCCTTTGTATTCAGTTTTAATACTGAAATGATGCGAATAAATGGCACCCTAGCCTGACCACAGGTAAATCAATCGCTGGTGGTTTTCTTGATGGCAAGGGACTGGGGAACGAGCAACGTGTTAATGGAAAACAAGCATGAACCTCCCTGGGCCCAGGAAGCCTGGTCAAGGCGTGCAGCTGCGAATGCTCCGGCACCCGTCGGTGGTGGCAGCACGCCGCAGAGGGCTGGATGTGGCACGCCACAGAGGGCTGGATGTGGCACGCCGCAGAGGGCTGGCACAGAGAGAGGAGGACGTGTGCTAAACTCTGTGGTGGCATCAATGTAGGTCAGCAGGTAGCACAGGCAGAATTTAAACCTCTCCATAAAGTGACAGTCGTTTAAATAGCATCTTGCAGTCCTCGGTCCGAAACAGACTTATTGATCCCTGAGGTCTTTAAGCGTTTCCCTATCCTTCACCATCCCCGTGCCTCCACTCCCATCTATTCACTAAATGTTGTCGAAGAAACGCCTGGTGACCTTTGACGACAGCAGTTAGTGGGATGCTGTCACAGAAGGGAGGAGTCTTGAGGCCGGAGGGTTTTTCAGAGGTGCAAGGTGTGCTGCCAGACCTCAGTGTACGCACTACTTTTCTTTTCACAATTACAGCCAGTGCCTCTATAGCTGCCAGCCTTGAGGAGGCTGTTTTGAGAACATCATCATTAATGGCCCCCACACAGCGAGTGTGTCAGTGGTACACTCACAGCTGTTATGCTATGGCTGTTCTGGGCGCATCGGCCAGTTGATGTGTGCAGAGGTACTGACAGTTGCTGGGTGTTTGTACCCTGGGTTTTCAGCCCAGGACCTTAGCAACAAGAGCTCTCATGTCCCAGCTGCAGCCAGATGTGCTCTCTTTGACTCCTGCTGTCCAACTTCAGGCATACAAACAAGCAGCCTCGCTGCCTTGGGACTCTGGGCATCAGGTGGGCTGGATTATCCTAGGAGCTCCCCGTTGGCAGAGGAAGCGCCTGCAGTTAGTGTGCTCCTAACGAAGGAGGTAACAAGTGCCGAGCATTGAGTGTGATGAGCCTGGACCGTGCAGAAGGATTTGCTTCTTGATATTGTGGAGGAATGGAGAGAGCTCAAAGCAACAAATTGCCAGCCAGAACCAGACCCTTGACTACAAAAGAGGAGGATTATCGAGAGCTCTGATTGCAGAAGCATCTGTGAAGATGTTTTAAGAGCTCCATGCCCCCTCAACCCAGTCCCTTTTGAGGAAATCTTTCTATAGCAACTTTTCTCTCTTCAGCAGTTGCACAGCAGCCTCTGGCTCCCAGCAGGGCAGGGCAAGGGCAGGTTGATCTCCTCCTTGCTCCTGCAGGAGAGGAAGCCGGTCCTGCTCTGCAGACTGGTGTCCAGCGACAGGACTGTCTCAGATCCAGGGGCCGGCTGGGCAAAGCCAGGG